ATGGGTGTGGGTGTGGGTGTGGGTGTGGGTGTGGATGTGGATGTGGATGTGGATGTGTGGTTGTGGGTGTGGGTGTGGGTGTGGGTGTGGGTGTGGGTGTGGGTGTGGGTGTGGGTGTGGGTGTGGGTGTGGGTGGTGGGGTGTGGGTGTGGGTGTGGATGGGTGTGGGTGTGGGTGTGGATGGGTGTGGGTGCGGGTGTGGGTGTGGTGTGGTGTGGGTGTGGGTGTAGGCGTTGAAATAAACTTGAAGAATAGACGCATCCAAACTGACATCCACATCTGCGGGCACACCCACCAACACCCATATCCACACCTACTCCCACACCCACACCCACACCCTGCTGTTATTTCTATAAAATTTATACATTATAATTTTAGAAAAGTGATGAGTACACAAAAAATATCTTCTTAACAATTATATCGGTTTCAATATCGATGAATGTATTTATTGTGAAACATTTCAAAAAGTGTGAATTATGAATGTAGAATCAATAAACGGAAGGACTAAAACAAATTTACTACCTAACTTCTTTCTAGCTCCCTGAAGGTTATCACTATCACTGCAAAGCATCTTTTTTTATAATTGCGTTGCATTTGCACATAGCATAATTTGGTGGTGTAGTATTTTCAATTAATTATTTATAAAGTATTGCGCAGCTTTCACAACTAATTATTAATGCAGAAAGCGACAATATTCGTTTGATCAAGTTGTATATTAATGGTGCACACTCTGTCTCAGTTATGCACATCGCTAGCAAAAAATATGTGATCGATATTTCTATTCATGTTCATCATTATTCGAAATTATGGCGTGACAGTGTGATTGCAACAAGAGATAATTGCATCACTATTTGATCGTCATGGTAGTCAACAACCTATTTTTTTCTCACTTCTTATCTATCTTTTCACTGACTGAAATATGTGCTCTGAAATTTCTGTGCTGTCACTGCTTTCAATTTTCTCATGAGAAAATGTAAATGATGATTATTTTTTTTTAATATTCGTAGTATGCTCACAACTCAAGCGTTAAAACCATAGAGTAAGAAATAAAAAGGTAGAATTTCTCGAAAACAAACTCTTCAATATTTAGCTATGAAATGAGAAAGATACTACTATTTGAGTAATAAGATCCGATTGTGTTTCCAAAATCTTTTAATGACATGTAATTACTTCTCTTTACACAAAGTCTAGCACTGTCATGGATGTATCTAGCTGTGAATTTCTGAAACTAATTCGATTATCGTGTATGAATACTCTTCATAGGTTATGAGAAGATGTCCTCAATAAATTTTCTAAAACAAATAGTTATATTGCTTCTGAAGGTCAAGACAGGTTTCACCATTTGTGCATTTTGAATGTTGTCGTAGTTCGATTCTGCGACTAGAATAACTATTTGACATATGATCGCTAGAAGCAAAAAGATACAGCTAGTGAATAAACATTGTGTCGAATGACATTAGCGTTCATGTCTTAGCCTTATCTACTGTGAACGAAATAATCTATTTGGCATAAGTCACGTTTTATATATCTGTAATAGGATTGTGTTTGAAGTCTGAACAAATCAAATAAGATTATATTCAAAACTATCATTATAATTCTCTGCAATGGGTAAACAACGAATTGCAATTATTGGTGCTGGACCAAGCGGTCTCTCACAATTGTTAGCTTTCAAACAAGCTGAGCAAGAACAAAAAGTTGAACTGATTTGCTTCGAAAGGCAATCAGATTGGGGTGGCTTGTGGCTTTATACATCTCAGATAGGCATGGATGCTAATGGTGAACCAATTCATTCAAGTATGTATCGACAGTGAGTATTATAGAAAATCATATATCTAACTTGCATGCTAGTTGAATGTCCTTTTTTTCTTTTCATTTCACACTTAGACTTTGGTCGAACTATCCAAAAGAATTATTTGAATATACTGACTATTCATTCTATGATCATTTCGGTTGTTTTCTTCCATCCTTTTTGCCACGTCCTCTTATCCACGATTATTTGATCGGGCGGGCTAAAGCCGGTAATATTCGACGATTTATTCGTTTCAATACAGCTGTTCGCCATGTCGACTTTGACGATGAGAAGAAAGAGTTTTCCATTGATGTTGAAGATTTTAATAAAAATTCGACAGAAAATTTGAAGTTTGATCGTGTCATTGTCGCAACAGGTCACTATCACTTGCCAAATATGATTAATATCTATGGTGTCAATCAATTTCCCGGTCGAGTTCTTCATTCACACGAATTTCGTGGTGCTGATGAATTTTTTAATCTTAATTTATTGTTAATTGGTGGTAGTTATTCTGTCGATGATATTGCTGTACAATGTTACAAGTTCGGTGCTCGATCGGTTACAATCAGTGCTCGATGCAGACCTTTTCACTACAAATGGCCAACACAAGTCAAAGAGGTACCCGAGCTTATTCGTATGGAAGGTCGAACAGCTCATTTCAAAGATGGTTCAAGTACTGATAACATAGATGCGATTATCTTTTGCACTGGCTATCGACATTCTTATCCATTCATGGCTAAACAGTTTGATTTACGTTGTGGTGTAACGGAATTCGTTCCAGGAGATCTCTACAAGAGTATTTTCTGGATGAGTCAACCATCACTCGCCTATTTAGATGCACCTCGACAAATTTATACATTTCCCATGTTCGATATACAGGCAGCATTGGTACGTGATGTCTTTCTTGGTCATGTCAAATTACCTGACTGTACTCACTGGCAAAAGGATGTTGATAAATGACAAGCACTAGAAAAAAATATCCCACGTGGTAATCTCAGTGCTCTGATCGAACTTCAAACTGCCTATATCCGTGATCTACTCGCGTTATTAGGTAAGCATGATGGTAATCAATCCTGCCTGCAATTTGACGTAGATCAAGCCCATGCATTGAACATGAAATTTTTCGAACAGAGAGCAAGTGATATTTTAAATCATCGTTATATATCCTACGAGTCAATCGTCGACACGAATCACAAAAGAAGCATTCGAACCCGCAAACCTTGGATTAAGAATATGGATGATTCAATGGAAAACTTATTGAGTAGTTATCGAGACGAAATTTGACTTACGAATTGAAGTGAAAAACAATAGATTGTGAATTTCTAATTTTTTTTTTTGTTATTCATTAAATAACTTATCATACGAGCACGAATAATAATCGCTATTAGCCGGGGATGGCGTAGTGGTTCTATGCATCTGATTACGGTCAGAGATCAGAAGGTTCGATTCCTTCCCTCGGCACGGTGCATTCGGTGTCAAGATATATGGTATCGGAAGAATAAACAAAAGAAAAGCAACGATGCACGCTACATCGTCATCATTGGCTCGATTTCGATTTTCATTCTGTTCGTTTTCATTTCTTTGTATTCTTTCTCTGTTTGTTATCATTATCTTGTCCGTTGCATACATTCGTAAGCGTCCACCAAAAATTGTAAAAAATCTCCCAAAAAAATCATGGATGTCACGAATAAAATTCAGCATAATTAAAAAAAAATACCTCAAGAACGAAAGAATATCTTTTCAAACGGGTTGCGTCAAAATTCTTAGCATTCTTCCCTCTACAATATGTATTAAATTGAGCAAAATCTGATGATTGCGATTGAGCAAGTTCGGTCGTGGCGTAAATGGATTGACTCATAAATAACTTTAAGTATCATTTTAAAATCATAACCTCTTATGACACTAATTTGTTAATTATTGTCGGTATTCTTATGTGTATATATACATATGTTAATTGTATATTTTTAAGTTATTCCAATTTTTAATAAAGTTGATTTTTATGTTACGGCCATATACCACAAAAAATAAAATTTATATTCCATAATTGGTCGCGATTAGAAAAAAGTCAGTATGTTTTTTCTCACATGAAAATTCAGTTTTTAGGAAAAGAAAATGTTGTTGTACAGAGAGCTTCAATATCTCGAATTAGTAATTGAATGCATTCTTTTAAATGAGAAAACATGTCGCGTTTGTAACGCTCAGTGGTGTATATATAAGATATTTGATGCGTAGCTCCTATGTTCAAATCTGACTTTGACTGTTAAAGTAAATATTCAATCCGTTTGCCAGGATAGCCTAAGACTATCATGATATATTGTTGATGGCGCCTCAGTTCAAATCTGAGATGGATTGAAAGTTATTTTTCGAATTTAAAGAATTTGGCTTGGAACGCATCCGAACACGGTTTAGTTTGAGCTCGCACCTAGACGCAAAGAATGTTCCACTGGAGACGTGATATAAAAGAAAATAGCGAGTAGACGAACTTTGGAACTAAATCGTGTGCAAGCTGAGTTCAGAGGTGAATCATTTTCGAAGAGCGAGCTGTTATTCATTTCTAGATGACTGCGATCGGTAACGCCACGATGGATTCTCACGATGGAGGAGAACATGCGATTGGTAGAGTGATTTTATTTTTATCATTTGCTGTCTTGGCTGGATGAATATGCAAATTAGTACTTTCGCAAATATTGAAAAATAAATTTCCTACTCCATTCACAGTGATCGTACTAATTTTTGGCTTCAGTATCGGTATGATTATTGCCCATATTTATGGTATGAGCAATGATTTTTTACTTGGTGAAAAAGAATTAAGAGAAATCAATCCTCATCTTATTTATTACATTTTTTTGCCATTGCTGATATTCGATTCGGCTTTTAACAGTCGTTTTCATGTTATTCGACCACAAATCATATCTGCTATACTTCTAGCTGGTCCCGGCGTACTCATTTCGATTGCCATTATTGCAGTGTTTGCCACCTATATACTTCCTTATCATTGGTCTTGGCTAGTTAGCATAATGTTTGGAAGTATTCTGAGTGCAACAGATCCCGTTGCTGTAGTGGTATTACTACACGAATCAGGAGCGAGTAAATCATTGGCAGCATTGATCGATCTTGAATCATTATTGAATGATGGTTCTGCCTTTGTCATCTATATGATTTTTCGAGATATTGTCGTCGGTGAAAGTAATAGTGCAAAGAAAATTATTATTGATATCGTCAAGTTCACTATCGGTTAGTAGAAGTTGATCATAATCACATTCCTTGTGATGAGATTGTTTGGAAATTGTCTGTTGACATTCTAGGTGGTCCAGCTTTTGGCATTGCCTGTGGCATCATTGCTGTAATCGTTCTGAATATGGTCCATAATGAACTCGAAGTCGAAATTATATCCACTTTCGGTCTTGCCTATCTAATTTTCTATGTTGCTGACGTTGAACTCCGCGTTTCAGCTGTCTTGGCACTGGTGGTCATGGGACTATTCATGGCCAAGCACAAATATTGTATCAGTAGTCACGTGCAACTTCCAATGGCCAATACTTGGCGCATCATTATTGATTTTGCAAATATTCTCATTTTTATCATTACTGGTATTATTTTGGCTCACTCACTGATCGGCACGAAAACAACTATTGTCACACGTGATTTTGGATTTTCTATTCTATTGTATATTGCTCTTCATCTCGGACGTCTATTATCCGTCATTGTACTCCATCCATTTATACGTTGGAGTGGTGTGCGTCTATCTTGGAAAGAAAATATGATTCTGATTTGGAGCGGTTTAAGAGGAAGTATGTCCGTTATTTTAGCTTTGATGGTTGACTCCGAAAATCAAATCGATATCGAAGCAAGGCATCGTTTTCTTTTTCACATATGTATGATTACCCTTCTTACACTGATCATCAATGGAACAAGCAGCAAGTTCTTAGTAAGATTTCTCGGCTTGGATCACGGTATGTACATTAGTTATTGGCTTGTTCAATTCACTTTTTTCACTATTCATTACTGTCGAGTAAATAGCGAGTAGCTCACTAATACAACGATTATTTTCGATTGAGAAAAGAAAGTGAAGCTCAGATCCTTTCTCAACTCCAGATTGAATTTTTCTCCGAAATATGAATATTGTTTAGCACATTATTTATTGAGATGAGAACAATTTTCGATGCTATGAATGAACATGTTCTTTTTTCAGGTACACCGGAAAGTGAACGCATTTTGTTACAAGCCCTCGAACATATGCGCAGACAAACAGCATATCAACTCCATAAGATGAAACAGGAAAAACAATTTTCTGATGTTGATTGGGATATGCTCAGTGAATATTTACCGGAAAAATTGGTTCAAGAAATGGATGTACATCGAAGAACAAGCATCCATCGGCGACTCTCTGCTCTACCAGATTTTGCTGAAGATTTATTGTTAAATCCTTATCGGAAAAATACAATCGCAGACATTGAGTTAAAAGAAATTCCGAGCATATGTGAGACCGAAAGTATACCCATAGATGTCATTCTGGAAGAAAGGAATTCAACTATTAGACATGTCGTATTGCCAGTTATGGATTTACGATCCAATGATAGAAAAGAAAACACACAATTTCGAAACGAGCTAACTATTCGTTTTCTCACAGCATTGTTGGTTGATTACGAAAAACAATGGTATCTTGGAATGATTCGTCGACGAACACTCTACATTCTGATTAAATCAGTCGAAAAAGCCAAACACCAACATTCACTTAAACTTCATTGGAAATTGATCGTTGAACATTTTCGATTATCGAAATGGCTGCAATATCTAATGCGACTCGATTGTGTCAAGTGGATTAACAAAGAGTCGAATAAACTATTATTTGATCATATCTTTCTTACCATTGAATTGACTCTCGGTAAGTGATACAATAAGAAAATGTTCTTTTCGTTTTATTTGATTTTCTCGGAAAATTATTTCTTTATCGAGTAGCTTTCCATTCAACTCAAACTCGTATGGATAATATTCGAAAGCAATTTCCAGAATTAGCTAATATTGGTAAAAGAATTTGGAATAAAGTTTATGAAGAAACTCATTTGTATCATCTCACTGCTACCTACATTCTTCTTGATCTACAGCAATCCTATGAAGCTTGTTGGCGAATTCATATGACAAAACGATGTGCTCAAATGTTACTCAAATACGAATCGAAGACGATCACTGAACTTTATGAAACGGGAATGCTCGGCCACAGCGTATATTCACATATATTGGAATTAATCGAAAAGAAATCGTTGAAACTGGAATTTTATCGTGTCTCTATGGTTCACGGTCATTTGAAAGCTATTGAAAATCCTTTTGACTTATTGCCACTCTTTCAATCATTACCTAATCATGAAAAAACACGTTGGCAAACGATTATGAAAGCAAAACATCGATGGTTTCAACCCGATCAAATTCTTCTTGAAAAAGGTCAAAGAGTATCGACTGCCTATCTTATCACTCGAGGCATTGTTGAATGTAAAATAGATGCAATGCCCATATATTACCGATTAGGCAATATTATCGGTATCGATGCCTTATTTTCACAAGATTTTCTAGCACATGATACTTATCGTGTCAGTAGCGGACTTTTGGAAGCTTATTGTATCGATGGTATATTAATGAATCAATTTTTAAAAGATGAAACTTTAGCTCCTTCGATCTATCGAGAAATTGCTCTACATGTCTTGAGTAATAATTATCAGACACGTTTGAAATTGAATCGTTTACAGCTACGATTACTTGTGCACAAGAGAGCGAAATTCTATTGGAATGAATCGGATATATCGATTCAATTGAAAGAGAATCAACGACTATTTATTCTTGCTGGCTATGTTACTCATTTGTTCAATGGTCAAACCAATAAATACGAGTCAATTCAACTGCAAATCTTTGATAACGAAGTCGAAATTGTTCTTAATTCGTCGACTGTAGCCTATTCATGGATGGACGAAGATGAGGAATTTTCTATCAAAGATACTAATCTTACCGTTCATTTTCCATTGCAAACCTATGATTTGACTTTGCAAAAATAGTTATAACCACAGTGCAAGACATTTTAACAAGACGCATCATGGACTCCAGTTATGTTTCTCATATTATACCTACACAATAGATCAACGATAATGTAGTTAAAAATATTTCTGTATTTTTGTGTTCCGAATCTAAAGCTTGCGTTTTATTCTAATCTAATAAATCTTTTGATATTCTTTCTTACGCATTTTTATATTTCTCGAAACTTCTATGTTATTTGAAATACATTGATCGGAATATCTTAAAATTTCTCCTCGTCCAATAGGAATGATTGTATTACTAATTGTACATTGACCTCTTTCAAACAAATAGGTGATTATCAAAAATCGTGGAAGAATTTCAATTGAACTGATATAATCGATGACATTTATTTCGTTCTGCACTTTTCTTATCCAGAAAGCCTCAAAAATAAAATTAATTTCAGGGTGAGACTGTTCCTAGAAACTTTTAATTGTACATAAATAGAATATGGGGTGTGGGTGGGTGTGGGTGTGGG